GTGTGTGTGTGTGTGTGTGTGTGTGTGTGTGTGTGTGTGTGTGTGTGCGCGCGCGTGCGTACTACAACAACAGGCTGTTGTCTAAAACAGACAGAAACTCACTGTACCATGACCGCTCTTTAGACTTTCCGCACCTCTCTCTCTCTCTCTGTCAGTGGAGAGGTAATCGGGGATTATAAAGGGTTAACAGTCGGTGAAAGAGTACAGTTTGTCCAGTGTGCATGTGTGTGCAACCAACGGTGTATGTGTGCACGTGATTGAAACACTCCCTGTATTCAAGCCAACAGTGAGGCCTAGCCATTGAGGCGACTCCACGGTGACCACTGTTCCTCCCACACCAGTGTGTGTGTGTGGTGGCTCTGTAGCTGACTGTGGACATCAGTATGTGATTGCGTCCAGGCCTGCGCGTCTCTGGAATGCGTTCATCACCATGTTGAAGGAGGGGATTTTTACTTTTTCGTTTGCCTTCTATCTCCACCATGTGTGTGTGTGTGTGTGTGTGTGTGTGTGTGCGTGTGTGTGTGTGTGTGTACACACGTGACTGTACAGGTATGCAGTAGTTCTGTATCTTTTTGTCTGCAGCTGGCATGTAATTTCATTAGTGTGCATTTTTGTCTGTATGCGCACATATGTCTGTATGTGCGTGTTACCAGCCTCAAGCCAGTGATCCAAACACGCACACACACTTGAAATTACACATTTCCCAAAAGAGGATCAGTTTGAGGGGTATCATTGCAGTTTCCATAATCAGCAGAATTTTTGTTCTTCGCTGGATCAGAGTTGTTTCGCTCTACAGAGGCTCAGCAATGCCAGAATCCCTGCAGGTATTGTAAATCTCAAGAGTCGTAATCCTGCATGCACGTTACCCAGTACCGGGAGAAAGATAACCACCCAACATCTTATCATTAGATATATCTGAAGTGACCTAAGGAGACCTTGTGTACCTCAAACAAGACTTAAAGTTGTCTGCCGGCCTTCAAAAATGTACCAGAGTTCTGTCACAGAGTTGCTATCTTCAAAATGTTGGTTTAATTCTGAAGAGACAACTGAATACCGAATAACTTAATCAACAGTGTTGTGCCAACTTTTTTTTTTTTGTTGTTGTAATATATTGTGTTGTTTTTGTTCATGTTTCAACACACAACAAGTTTTTGTTTATTTTTAATGTGGGCAAATGGCAGATTTTATAATATGTTTGCATTAGCTGCCGAGTTAAGTTTTCCCGTGGGAAGACTTCGCCACCTGCTCTCCACTGATTACCTACTCAGTCAAAACTCTCTTCCTCAGAGACACACACACACACACACACACAGACAAGGATGTTGACAATCGTGGATGCACAGCTACAAATATACACACACAAGACAGGACTTCATTGGAATCCTCCTCACCCCACCCCTGGGTGTAATTGTGCAGGGATGTGTGTGTTTCCCGAGGCCACAGGCGCAGGCAGAGGTGGATATGGGGTGGGGGAGGGCCATACAAAGATGAACCCAGATGCTATAAGAACTGACTGCTTATGGTCCAGTGGTTGTCTAGACCCTGATGCATATGAGGGTTGCATAACCCCCTGTAGTCCACCTCAGTCATGCATGTCTCTACCCAGCCAAGTGCTGTTTTGAGGAGGAAGTGAGCTGCTGACCACACGGTTCAGTGTGGTGAGTTGAGGGCAGTACGGGCTGCATCCCGTGAGGACCGGTGCTCGCCTCTCTGTCTTCATTAGCTGTCTTTGGAGCTCCCTAAATGATCCTGGACGGGGCGTGACTGATAACCTTTTGAACTCTTCTTTTTAAGCTTTTTAGTGACTTCCAAACTGAAGCTTTTTGAGTACTCAGGTTTTGGCCTATTTTCCTTTAGGTATTATTAAACCAGAAGATACAAGATGCTTAACTGAGCTCATTAAGCCTGGGGTGTGATTGGTGTTCATCAGATTATGGAAATGTTAAGGGGTGGTCCTCCCTTCAGAACCTCCTCTCTTGTTTCCTATCCTGTCTCTTTAATGCACAGCCTCTGAATCCAGCAATATCACAAAGAAAGCACATATTTCTCTGTCAAGGTAAGGTGGTGATGTCAGAGAGTCCACAGCTGTAAATAACTTTAAATATCCCAAAAACTACATTCATGGTACCGACTTTGGCGATCTCCTAAATTTTACTCTTGCGCCGTCATCGGGTCCAACTTTTTTTTTTTTTTTTTGTTTATAACCTCAGCTGAACTTTGTGTTTAGTGCTAATTAACAAATGTTAGCATTCGGATATTAGCATTTAGCTGCAAGCATGACTGTAGAGTTGTTAGAACTATTTGTAAGCAGCCAAACTGTCCTTGAGCAAACCCTGACTCCCTGCTACAGATATGCTCTTCTGTAACTGACACTAACGTGTGACCTCTCTCTCTGTATTTACTGTATGTATCTGCATTTATTAGTTCTAAATAAATATCCTTTTGTTAGTATATGGACATGATGCACTCTGGGAAAAGCTAGTCAGGGGACCTTGAGTTGTCGTCTTGTAAAATGACTATTTCCTATCTTTTCTGTTGTTTGCTGTCACTTTTACTGTTACAAAGACCCATGTGTGTAGTCACAGTTGGTATCATGGAGCTCCACCTTTTTAAAAAGAGGTTGATTGAGCAGGTAAAAGCAATAATACCCTATTTGGTGTTGAGAGATTTTAGTGAAGTCTGTACTTGTTTTCTTGTTTTTTAGTAGTGCTTTGTTATTGTTAAGCAGCGACTAGATCGGAACAGTCGGTGTACCAGCATCCATCAGTGTGTGATTCATCTGCAGCAGTTGCCCGTGCATTGTGTGGCAAAGAGGCAAAACGCCCAGAAATAGACGGTCATCCTAAAACGGGGTCAACCTGCTGGTCGCTCACAGTCAGAAGCAAACACTCCAGCTGAATGCGTTTGTTTGTCTTTCTGTCTTCCCTGTCGTGAAATGCGTCACTGCTTCCTGCTCGTCCCTCCAGCGGCCGATGAACCTGAGAAATCACTGCTGACTAACCCACCACAGCTCCCCCCCTCCTCTCTCTCTCTCTGCTTGGGGTGAAGGTGACTCTTTCAAAGAACATTTAGGATACAGAGATTTTTCTCACAGATTGAATAATTTAAACATTATTTTCCAGTATAGAAAGATGTTGAATCCCCTCCAGCTTGGGGAAAGTTGTTTACTGTAGCTCGACCAGACCTCTGAGACAGAAGTCGTTTTAAATCTCCTTTTATCCGGTTATTTACACCTTCATCATTCACTTAGTTCACGTGATTACAGATGTGTTCCTCAGTGTCAGGAGGGGGTTTCTGGTGACATCTCTTTAGGTTGGCTCTCTGTTGTTTTCTATACAATCTGAGGTCAATGTCCGCCGCTAGGACCAGGGCCACTGCGATACGACCAAGCCAGCTGGTGTCACAGACCACACGCATGCCCCTCAATGTTTGGACCCTCGGTGTGCTGCTGCATCTTGTTTGTTTATTTGTCATGATTTAGGACATTTTCTAGGAAGCAAAATTCTAAAAAAAAATAACCATCGGATCTGGCCTCTTTCTTCTCGTGTCTCCTACTAAAACCCATTTCCTTTGCTGTTCGTTCAGTCACTCGGTAACTTGGTGCGAGGGAATTATTGGCGAGGCAAATTGCTCCCAGTCATGGGCTCTCCCTGTAATCAGTCTTAAGCAGGCCGGTTGCTCGATGACCAGAGTCAGCTGTGGTGGAAAACGTAGTCATCCCATCCTTTCAGCTGGAGCTTCCTCTGCCACCCTTTGCGGCATCTCTGGTCCCAGAGATTCAGAGACAATACCGAGCACACTTTCATCTCTCTGTTCTTGTTCTCCTCTTTCTACGGTATTACTCACACGCTATGAAACACAATCTCTCTCTCCCACACACACAGCAGACATCATTAGAAAAAACATACCGTTACCCGCTAATATTTTGCGGTTGGAAAGCCAAATGTAAAAGGCAGTCAAATTCAAAACCACGCAGTGGTTAGCATGTGACAGAACAGAAAGGTCACTCCTCGACCTCTCGCTGTGCTCGTCGCTTTTTTGGAGACATCAGCTGTTTGTGAAACTGTGGAACAGAACATGAATGGAAAGCTAGAAAAAGGAGACGGATGGCCTCAGAGACGTGTTGTGTTTCCCATGGAAGTCATTCTTAACACACACACACACACACTCATCTCTTGACTCATTTTGTTGCTTGATCAATTCACACCTTGTTTTTTAGCTGTCTGGCCCTGTAGAAAGTGAGGTACCCAAGAACTGTAGCTGCTGTTTTTATTCCAGGCTGACATTATTTGCATGTCTTCTCAATGCCGATAAAGAAAGTTAAATGTGTTGTTGCATTAACATACTCCCAAATCTGATCTCATTGCAGGCTGAATGAATGTAGCAGCTTTTATTTCACCTGTTTCAGTCCTTTGCTGCAGATGTTTGGAACCTTGTATCAACAATGATTGTTGAGAGTTGTTCACACTCTTTCTCTCTCCATCTCAAACAGTGTCCACTTAACTGTTGTAACAAACAGAGTGAATAATGAGTGGATCATGGGATTAAAGTGATCAGCTGAATGGGTTTACGTGGGTGTGACGGGGGTCTGTGTGTGTGTGTGTGTGTGTGTGTGTGTGTGTGTGTGTGTGTGTGTTTGCATGCACACAGCTCTGCATGGTTGTTAAAACCTTGTGTTTTTATAAAGGTTGAGCTGGAGAGATATCCCATGATACATGAATTGTCCACTGTAGTCATGTTTAAATATCGGACTCAGGAATGGAGACTTTAAATTACATTGTCATGTTATGGAAAAGGCAGATAGGAGGCCAAGTTAGTGTGTGTGTACATCTTAGACCATTACGCAATGAAGAGGGACCTCTGTCGTAGTATTTGTTTCAAGGAAAATGGTTTTTTTTGTGGACAAGAAAAGGCTCTAAATCTGGACTAAAGGGGTGTTTTTTGTCAGTAGAGGGAGGCCTGTGCAGGAGTAATGACAAGACCACAGCATACTAAACGTTAGACGTTTGTCTCTCTGGTGAAGTCTTTCTATAGGACACGTTTCTATGAGCGGTCACATATACGACTGACAGAGAGAAGTAGAAAATGGTCTTTTTGAGACCACTGCTTTTACATATGTGGAAAAGGTTGTAGGGAACCTTTTGTGTCTCCAGAGAGGAAGCTGTGTAAAGCCTGATAAATTACCTCTGGTGATGTCACTTGAGTCAGCGGCTACATTTTTCAAAAAGAGTCCAACAGTGTGCGAATCAATCGTGTAATCTATTAACTAATTTAAGCTCAAGAATGTAAAGGTCTGTCTGTCTGTCTGAGGATCATGGAGGCTGTAATGATGTCATCATCGTCTTCTGCACCTCTCTTGGGTTTCTGTCTTCCTGAAACTAACTGAACAATCCCTCCTTTCTTTGCCTAGAAGACGTTACATTTTATTCTCACTCGGATCACTTTCGTCAGTATTTCCATTATAGTATTTTTTTTGCTCGATCTTCTGAATGTTCTCCCCAGAGGTTTGCCGAAAGGCTTATGGTCGCTGAATGTTTGTGAATCATTATTTTCTGTGATGCAAATGCATTTGTAATTTAAGCGAGACTATTTTAAACCTCTCTTTGGTTTGTCACACAGTCGAGATGAAAGCGACGTGTGTGACTGTTTGTGCATATCTGTGGGTTTTAAAGCTCCTGCAGTTCCTGCAAGCAAGTGTGTGTGTGCGTGTGTCCGTCCAAGTCTAAGCTGTCATGATCGCTTTTGCTCTTTCTCTCTGCTGCTGTTCAGGGATGAGAGCGAGGGGGGGAGGGGGGATGTGGGGGAAACAGGGTCACATGTTGAAGGAGACGAGAAGGAAGACGGCTTAAAAAAAAGACTAATTAAAAATGTGCGAATAGATATGTTGGAGGAGGAGGAAGAGAAGGAGGGCCCACGAACTGGGTGTGATGTAACCCTGGAGTGAAACGTTGTAAACGATAAGAAGCGGGGAGGGGGAGGATTGTTTTTCTGGGAAGTTTGAGCTTGGAGAAAAAGAAGAAAGAGATGGCAGTGTTTTGAATCCCTAAAACCCAGAAATACAGGAGAAGTAATTAGGTGCCAACCAACAAAACTTTCACTGCCTGTCTTTGTCTTGTCTCGAAACTAGTGTTGTGTTTATTAGGCCAGTCTTAAGACAGAAGGCCGCAGCACTACAAGCACCAGGACATGGTTAGAAAACTAATTGGACCACGATGACACTTGGAATAAGTCTATTGTTTACTCTCCGTCTGTCGTTCACACACCGTCCACACTTTGTCTCCTCTTCTGCGCTGATGAAGACAAAGAGCTTAACAAGAGGAACAGTTCTGCGGGCTTTCAGTGTTTTCATAGCACCCCGCTGAGCTCGATGCAAAAACATTGCAGCTGTTTTCGCCCGGTGTCGTCCTCTCTCTCTTTTTTTTTTTTCCTCTCCCCCCTTTCTCCCTTTCAAAGAATTTTCATTTGAATGAAAACCCTGCCCCGGTGTTTTGTTGTGCTCTGAAGGGGGGGATGGGTCCAATTGGTCAGAAACCCTTTCGAGGGGGACCAATGCGAGCGCATCTCCCGCCCTCCCCGCCCCGCCCCCTGTGCCCCGCTGAGGCTCCTGGCTTGACGTGTGATTGGCCGGGTGGGAGGAGCCAGCCTCGGTATTAAAGCCTGTCCCGTCTGCTCCACTTCAGTGTTGAAAAGAGACCCCCGTCTGTCAGCCGGAGAAGTGTTTGTGTGTGTGTGTGTGTGTGTGTGTGTGTGAGAGAGAGAGAGAGAGAGAGAGAGTGTGTGTGTGTGTGTGTATATATCAGTGCGTGTGGATGCTTTTGTTAATGAGAGGCAGGCGGAAAACAGACAGCTCTGCTATTATCTGACTTGGACTTTTATCTCTTTTTAACCCTCTCCAGGACTGTTGGTCTCTCCAGCTGAGCTGCCGGACGGATTTTTTTTTGTGTCGTCTCACAGCTGGACAGGCGGACGTGCTTGACGGACGAGTTGGACAGAGATCGTGAAGGAGATCTCAAAGGCTGTCGCGTTGCCGGCTGATCTACCGGACCTGCATTTCGGATTAAAGAGAGCTCCCGATCGGCTGCCCTGTGGCTGACCGGTGACCCCGATCTGCAGCCAAAAACCCCTTCTGGGTCACCGCCGAGCTCAATAGAGGTGGTCTGGCCGGGCCTGATGTGGAATCTGACCCCGACTGACCCCGTCCCACAAGTAGCCTTTCACTGAGCGTGGACTCAGTGGGGAAGGAAGGATAAAAGAGCAAGAGGGAGCGACAGGGAAGAAACGGAGAGAAGTGAGAGCAGCAACACAGCGACCGGTAAGGAAGTTAAAGGTGGCTCCGGGTGGGAGGGAGGGAGAGGAGAGTGGGAAGAAAAGAGAGGGTACAAAAGAGCTATTTTCTTAAGCTTAGAGAGGACATGTGGGCGCTCTAAAAGGATGCTTGTTGACCATTAAAGGCCCACTCTCACCCAGCTCTCCCTCTGTCAGTCCCTCTGTTTGTCTCTAGTCTAACTTGTATCTCCTTGTGTCCAGTGGTTGCTATGAACCACGTTTTGTAACGCACTAAATACTATTCATATTGGCTTGTCTGTTCTCTCGTACATCATTCAGTTTCAAAAGTCTTTTGACTGATGGAGAATATTTTTCTCTCTCTCTCTGTCAGCTCGTCGAGCATGCCGGTGGAGACCCTACGGCCGTCAGACGGCCGTCTGGCCGGGGTCCCCTTCACATCCGCCATGCCCTTCAGGATACTTCACAAGGGCCCGGACTACTTCCGTCGCCAGGTCGAGCCCGGGGCCCGCAAACTGAGCGCCGTGGAGCGCCTGGAAGCCGACAAGGCTAAGTATGTGAAGAGCCAGCAGGTGGTCCTCACCCGCCAGGCCCCCATCAAAGCGCCAATCATCCGCAAGCCCCTGGTTCCCCCGGGGATGATGCTCCAGTGCCAGATAAGCACTCCACCGGCCCGCAAAGTTCCCCGCTGCCCAGCCGACGTGGAGAACGGAGGAGGGAGGGAAGGAGCGGGGTGGAGACGAGGACCTGCTCTTAACTTGGATATTCTGAACAATCTTATCAATGATGTATGCGATGGACCAATGCCCTGCTCCCAGTCCTCTTCCTCCACCTCCCCCTCCTCGTCATCTCCCTCATCGGGCGCTAAGAGCATCGGCAGCAGCCTGTCGGCAGAACAAGAGAGGAGCAACCGGCTCCTCAACAACCTCAAACCGCTGAACCACGGCACCATCAACTCCTCCACCTCCTCCTGCACTTCCTCTCCGCTCAACAACAACCTCCGGACCCCCGCAGCAGAACCCACCCGCCGCCCGCCCCCTGTTCCAGCACGAGTACCCCGCATTGGGGTTCCAGCGCCCTATAGCTCCCCGAACTCAGTGACAGTGCGCAGGGTGGACGTTCGGCCTCAGGCTGAGATAAGGAAGCCTCAGAGGGTCATGCTGCAGCCCCAACTCAGGCCCAGACAGACTGCCCAGGGCCAGGTCGCACACCCCCAGGGCCCACCTCCTGCACCCTCTCAGAACCTAACCAAGCCCCAGCTTGTCGTCCCGTCCCAAACCCTGCCCTCCCCTCCGGTCTACCTGCCGCCTAGTCCCATGCTGGGCCTAGCCGGCATGATCCCGCCAGCCTCCCCCGCGTTCACCCGCATATCAAACGCCAGCTCCAAGGGGTCCGGCCGCAAGCACCCAGCCTTGCACCGGTCCAAGTCGGACCTGAGCGACCGCTACTCCCGCGCCACCGCCGACCTGGAGCGCTTCTTCAACTACTGCGGGCTGGACCCAGGGGAGGTGGAGGGCATGGGGGGAGTGGAGCGTTTCACGAGAGCCAACTCGGACATCGTGTCGGTCTCCAAGCTCCGCAGCGTCAGCACGCCCAGCTCGGAGTGCGGGGACGAGGCCGGCCGGGCAAGGGCGGACGAGGAAGACGATGACGACGGTCCTGCCCGGGCCAGCGAACGGGTCCCATACGGGATCTCCGTAATAGAGAGGAACGCTCGAGTCATCAAGTGGCTGTACGGCATCCGTCATGCGCGAGACGCCAACAACGCCGTGTCTAACGTATAGACTAACGAGGACTTGAAAGGACTTTTTGTATGTCTGAAGAAGGGAAAGCACATCTTCTGCTGCCTTACGTCACATTTAAGGATAATCCAGCAGTTGTTTCTTTTCATTTTCCTGTGAAGACACTTGTTTTGGAAATTACACATCAGTGATTGTTTTCCGGGCTGCAAGTCAGGACTGCTTCCCTGCAGGACTAAATGGACGATACATTTCCCCTTTTCCATCACTTGATCTTGTGTAACAATATTGGTATACAAAAGCAATAATAGACCGGTATAAATGAGGATGAAGGCAGAGGAAATTTGCATTTGTGGTTCCTCATGTTAAGGTACTTTGTGTGTGTGTGTCTGTGTGTGTGAGCGCATGTGTGTGTGTGTGTGTGTGTACCAGGGAGCTCCGCAGCACAAAGCCACTGGACCTTGGCTGCAAACTGCTGGAGGAAGAGAACCACGTTGATACTGTGAAATGTCACATAAAAAAAAAAAAGCTTCCATAAACACATTTGTATTTTCAAAAAAAACAACGTTTGGCTGTAAGACTGTTATTATACACATTTCTGTCAGCATGCGAGTGAGACATTTTGTACACATTCATTTTAGGGTTTCAACGAAGCGCACACTTTGCTCCCACGCGGATAATCACTTCACGGCACAGACGTACATTCAGGTCTATTACAGTAAATACAGGAGCAGCAGCAGTTAGCTGTGTGTGTGCATGTGTGTGTGTGTGTGTGTGTGAGAAACATTATTACTGCACTGGTGCAGCGGGAGAAGAATCTGTTTACGATGTATGTCTCGGCACGCATGAGGGGAGCAAGTCATGATGAGGGTTGAGCTCAGAAGTGGATGGTTTTAAAGTAAGTGTAGCGTGAACAAGTTATTTTGCCTCCAATCAGAATGGAGAGAAAAATCAAAGGACGGGTAAAAGGCAGACGGAAGAGAGGAAAAGAAGAAGATATCTATGGCGGTTCTGAAAGTGTCTCGGGAAGATGCACTTGCCATACTAACGAATATATGGACCAATATTTATTTGGAAAGTTTTAACGTAATGTATTTTTTAATATTGGACAACTTTGTGTACAGAATTCAATCTCCGCTCTTAAATGCAATCTGATCACATCTACCGTAATTGCAGTTCATGTAGGATCCCATTTAAACACATGCAGATACAGGCGCCGGTCACAGTGACAGTGAGTGAGATTATTCCACTTCCTGTTTGTCGCAGCAGGAGCGAGAGAGGAGGTCCGTCTCCCCCTGCGCCGCTTCTCTGCCCCCTGCGTCCTTTTTAACGTTTCAGCACATTCAGTGTGAGCCCCGGCCAGGCTGCTCCTCTTCGTACCTGTTCCATCACAGATGAAGAGCGGAGTCCACAGAGGGCTGGAGAGCACACGGTGATGCCCAAAGAGTCTTCAAGTGAGAGATCCAAAATGTTTTACAGTGGTGTATTCTAAACAATTAATAATAAAAACAATGTTAAAGTATGTACTTGTTCGCTGTTTCTTTTCTTATTTTTTCTGGTCTTTCAAGCTGACTAAAACACGGTGACCTGGTTCCACCATACGGCTGCAAACGGCTGCTCATCTTGATTTCTTCAGTGTTTTGAGGGTTTATGAAGCGCTGCTGCCGCCAAATGCTTGCTGTATAATGTGAAAGATCTGGTGTGCGGGTCCAGTTCAGCAGAAGCAGGTGTTTGGCCCCTCATTTCAGCATCAATAATGGACACACAGCACTTCCACTGATCTCCTCTGGACGGCTTTTTGTTTACTATGAATCGTGTTCTTGTCAGCGGCCCCTCCATTATTTAGATGGAAGAAAAAAAAAATGTCGACATGCGTGCGAACAGCTCTGCTCTTAGTCTTTGTAGCCTCTCATTAAGTCGCTCCCATGACTAGTCTTGAAGCCGGTTGTGATGAACCCCCCCCCCCCACCACCAAAGTTCTCCCCCAGCACCACACCCTGCTTCAGAGCTCTGCGTCCTTGTTAAAGAGAGCTACTGCTCAATTAAACACACTGTTGGAGGGGAAAATAAACGAGTGTGAAAGAGGTTCTTAGGCCACACTGAGAGTGTAAGCATTCGTTGCGCTGCGAGTTTAGGTGAAAAAGTGAAGGAGGATTAAAGGAACAAGTTTTTACCTCGTACAGGTTTGGAAGGTGACTAAGTAGGTCATGCTGCAGGTTTCTTTGCAGACACAGATGGTATTTGGTGCTTTTCGCTGGCGTATGCTTTACAGCGCATTCGTCGTGTACCTCCTTAACATTCAGGTACTCCGGGCCCCAGACAAATTGGATCCTACATTTCCCATGATGGTATATGTTGTCAGCCGCTATGAGCCCAGTTTGTAACACAAACTTTTCATCCCAAACGCCTTTCCCCCGTGCGGACTAGCTCATGGGGTCAAAAGCCACTTCTGATATTCGGTGTTTTTTGTCTCTCAGACAGCTGGTCCGTGGCCCCGCGCCTCCTTCGGGCCGCGACCGCTCCACAGTAGCCTCCTCCCCGCCTGTCAACAATCACAGCGGCCCTTCGCATCATGACATCATCGCACGTGGCCTTGGTTTACTGCTCTCACAAGGTCCTGGTTTCGAGGATGTGGGTGGCCAGAGGATTTGGAGGAGTATTTGATGGAGTGGAGCACGCTGTCGCAAATGAAGTATTTCTACCTGGAGCCCCGGGGCCTGGGCATCATGACAGCAGCCCGCTTTGGTCACCCAGGCAACTCTGATTATAACAGCCAGCAACACTGAGGGGAGAGAGAAGCAGAGATCTAAAAAAACAACAGATCACAGCAGTTTAAAAGCGGGGAAATGGAAGAGGACGAGAGAGGAAGTTGGTGGAAGGAGGTAGAGATATGGAGGGTGTCGGCTTCTATTAGAGAAGCAAATAACCTCAGTGTTGGAGCAGCTGTGTGTCTCTGGGGCTCTAATGAAAAAGAAAGTGAGTGGCAGGAGGTACAGGACTCTATTCATTCGAAAGTTGAAATTAAATTAGGAGGTAGTTTTCCCTCTGGAACGGTCAGAAAATATTTGGCAGTAATAAAGTACTGGCAGTGGGTTTGTGCATTGCTTTTTGTTAATAATTGTAAATTTCAGTCTAGTTTTGGTCAGCAAGAACCAAAGACAATTTGGTGTCGCTTTAGTTTGCTACTGTTATCGTGCACAAGCAGCACGCTTTGTATCATCACAGCTAGCCGAGCTGTGGGGAGCATTCAGAAGCTGTCTCAGCTGAGGGTTCAAATAACATTATAAAGGAGTTTACATCTATTCCTTCAGTGTACATACAGAATTACTGCCTGTTGCTGCTTCTTGTCTTCTTGTTTCAACAGGACTGCAGATGAATTTAGTTTGTTTTTCTCCTTTCAAGAAGCGTCAACGTTGGCTAACAGCACTGAGACATAACGTTGCTATTAGTGCAACGGGTCCAGCAGCTCAATATACTTTTAAATAAGATAGATTTTTGGGAGTTGGGAGGTGTCTTGTTGCTGTCATGCCGGTCAGTGAATAAAAAAACTTGTAATACATGTTTTAGTGCATTTTGTTATAGTTTTATTCAGTAAAAAAACAGCATAATAAATGTTTTTTTTTGTTTCAATTAAAAAGATTTTAATGAAAGTGAGGATGCAGTAACCATGAGCTAATGTTTTTTTTGTCACTATATGCATTCAAACATAGACATGCGCTATTTTATATAATAATCCTGGGAAATGATCAATGACCAATCAATATGCGTTGGTTAAGAAACCTAGAAGTGAACTTGACTTTCCTAAGTAGGACAATTCAAAATCTTCATTTGTTAACTTCTAAGTGAGCGTGAGCCAGAGATCACAGACTGACTGTAGCTGCCAGGTTTTGTTCCAAGCTGTCACCGACTTTATTTGCAGTTGTTTTGCTACAGGATGTGCACAATGTCTCATCGCTTCTTCAAAACCGCTCTGTGGAAATTACGTAACTAATTTACCTAATCTGGCACGACAACTCCCGTTGTTTTCATCCCGGGAACGCTGTCGTCGTTACATAACCGAGAGCGGACGCCTCTGACCCGCTCACCGCGGTGATGCGAGGAGTCGAAAAGGCTAAACGCTTCAGCTTCGGGAGAGGAACACATGTCCCGAGAGGATAAGATGTCTCCCTGTGGATGGATAAGGGGAAAGCGCACCAAGAAGCATCACTGTGTCATACTCATACTCTCTCTGTCTCTCTCTGTCTCCCCACAGAGGCTGACCATATGTCCATATTTACTGAGAGATCAGCTGGGCTTTGGCATCCTGGTCAGAATACACACACACAGTTTGTATTTGCTCCTGACTTGTTTGTGTTTTTGTGGGGTTTTTTCTAAGCAGTAAGTCCATCAAGTGTGGATGTTTAATGCTTTTCAATGGTACTTACATGCAGAGGATGATTCCAATCTTTTTGGGATGAAAACGTGTGTGGCTCCCTAATGCATGCATGCATGCATACTTAAGCCCCGAATTTGTGGGTTGCCAGTTCCTGTGTGACGGGGGGAGGGGGGTGCTCGGTTAGGAAGAGCATACTGCTTGATCTCAGCAGTGCCACTAATGTATGTCAAAGCTTGGTATAGTCCTTCTGAACGGCCTTGGTGCAGGGAGTGATAAGCTGATTAAGGCGCCGGGGCAGATGGGATCTCTGTGTTTTTGACTATGTTTGTGTGTGTGTGTGTGTCACTGGGACCAACTGTACGACCCGTGGGAAAACAAAACTAGGTTGTCTGTGTTAGCTTAGCGTGTTGTTGCAGAGCACTGCGTCGCTTCCCTTATCTCCTGGCATCCATCTTCCTATCTTCCACTCTTTGTCTCTATCTGTTCCTCTGGAGCGCCGCTCGCTGCCTAAACACACAGCCAACTCTGTTTTGTTTACGCTCCTCTCTATAGATTTGGACGCGGTGCAGCTTTCATCTCTCATCCAGCCAGTCACAGACGGGATCAAATGGCAAATACTCCTGTCTTACTCCAGGCTTTAAAAATGTGACGGTGAACACAGTGACATTAAATAATGTGTACAGAAAAGAATGCAAAGAATTCAGTTGTTTCATTTTGAAAATGTCAGAACTTGTCTGCAGCATTTAAAGCCAACATAATGATGGGTTTGATTGTCATTCCGAGTGTGTGGGGCAGTGAAATGAAGAGCTTATTATCCAGGAGATAATGATATCGTTTGTGTTTGTGTGAGTGTGCACCTCCGTGTCTGTCTACAGTTAATCTTGCATTCTGCTGCAGAAAAGTTCGTACTATCTTAGGTGCTCATTCATGGCTGCACCCTCAAGGAACTCTCACTCTTTCAAAACCTTTTAATGCCTTTGGTTCTGCCATTGATTGTTGACTGCTAACCCCTCACACACTACTCTTAACTGGTCTCCGGTTGAGGCCGCAAGGGATCACAGTTTGTTCACTTTTATTGTCTTGAGCGGTGTGTTTGGCTATCAGCTAACAGCTAAAGTAACTACCAGTACACACGCAGCTTAGTGCATTGCCGGCACGTTGTTGCTCTGCAGCCAGAGACATAGTGGGGTGGGGGGGGGGGACAGTTTGCTCAGTAGACTTGAAGGAAAAATAAACGCTTCAGGTGGCGGTTACGCCCATGAGACGCAGCGGAGACATGCAGAGATCTGCATAGATTAAAATGAGGGTCTCTGTTGTGGGATACACATCTGATACACTTAAAGTTTAGATGGGGGGGTTGTACTAATTCAATCAAACATTACAGCAGTGGTCGTCAAGGGCTGTGGTGCTCCAGTCCAGGAAGAAAAGAGGAAGTTAAAAAACTAAAGTTTCAACAATAAGTTTAAACTTAATCAATTAATGGTTGTTTGTTTTAGGAGGTGCCGCAGCACCCCTACTTTCTGGATCCGTGCTTTTTGCATGAATATTAATAAACGCAATAAATACATTTCAAATGAAAATGTCCCTGCTTGTGGACATGTTGGGACAGGTCCCAATTATTTATAGATGGATTATTTCTGTCCATCCTAACTCCCTATTCCCTATATTAACATTGGAAAGACCCCATTGCCTATTGTGGCTGTGAACAGGACTCTTTTTAGTCTTTTTATTTCATTTGTAACAACAACAATGAATTCATTATACAGCTGGTGCTTTCAGGAAGTAGACTGAGCAGGGGAAACCATTTGAAAGTGGTAGTAATTACAGTAAATCTGTAAGAACAAAGAAAAGTTACAGTAGTAATACTATAATCATATCACAGGAAATAAAGATGAAGGTGTTAAACTGATTATTGGGTAAATCTATCTTGCTCTTAACAGCATGAAAGGATGCCTACATTGTGCAAGCTAGGATTCCTAATGTTTAGTACACTGACTGTACACCAGCAGACGTATGAGGATGGATGATAAGTCCCTAAAAGACCAGACCGGTGTGGGAGGATGAGCGGGAAAGTGTGGTTGATTCAGAGTGTTACGCTAAGATGCGTGAGAGTGCGCTGAGTCTTAATGAGACGGACTGGGGAAGTT